ACCCACTCAGAGTGCTGCCATCAGCCCAAGAATAATCACCTCTTGAAGCACTCCCGGCTCCTACATTCTGAGGCTCTGGGCTTCTGCAGCAATAGGGATTGAAGTCAGACACTCAGCAGGGCTTCCTCAATGGAAGGAGGGAATGCACTATGGAGCTGTGGGGGTGGGGGGCAGACCATGGGAGGCCTAGCCTGCTTGGGTGACTCCAGAGGAGAACTCTGGACAGAGTGAGCCAAGGGTGGACGGGGCAGGGAAAGGCGCAGAGAGGGCAGCTGAGGAATAAAGGCCCACAGGATGCTCTCGCCACTCGCCCCCTCCGTACAAAGACCAAACAGCAGGACTGGGACTGAAAACCAGCAGCACGCAGAATTTGGGTCATGCTCTGAGACCTGCCCTTCGTCACAAGGCAAAGTTCTTGGCACATCAGTGTCACTGTGGGCTGGGGTGAGGGGCGCAGCTGTCTACAGCCTGATGGGGAGGTCCTGGGTTCCTGACATTTCTACCATTGACTGACCAGGTGTGACCTTGAATGAGTGGCTCTGCCCTCTGTGCCTGGGTGTACCCAGCAGCACACTGAGGATGCACGAAGGGTCTCAGAGGGCCGTGCAAAAGAACCCAACGCAGCGAAGTTCCAGAAAGTTGGCCAGCCTGCTCCCACAGGGGCCAAGCCCAAGCTCCCTCCACACCCCACCACCACCACCCTACCCCGTGCACACATACATGCACGCAGATTCATCAGTCCTGTGGCTGTGGACAGGTGAAGAAGGCACAATGCACAAGGCAAGGGGCCAACCCGTTCTGTCCTGGGGGCTGGGCTGGGGCCCCTGGCCAGGTGTGCATCTGTGAAGGCAGTGAGAAGCCAGGCAGCAGTACAGCAGAGGGCCCGGCCTGGCACACAGGCTGCAAGTGCGCCATGACAGCAAGCGTGTCCAAGCTGCGTGAGTGTGCACAAGAGACAGATGGGTGTGCATGAGACATGGATGCATGTGTCTGTGCAAAGCTATGTTCAACAAAGACTATCCTAGGTGAGGCGGGGTGGTTTTCATTCAATTCCATGCACTTCCATCAATTCCACCCCCTGAGTGCTGGGTGCTGGGAGCAGAGGAGCAGAGACCCATGGCACAGGAGTGCCGCTGCTTGGGGTGCTGGCTGAAGCCAAGGTATAGGAGAAAGACAGCTCCGAGTCAGACCTCTCAGGGCAGAGGCTCTTCCACAATAACTGGGTAACCTCTCCTGAGCCTCAGTTTCCTCATCTGTCAAATGAGGAGTAGACAGCCTCGACCTCACCAGGCCGTAATGATGAGGAGAGAGAGCGTGGTTTGGTCCTCAGCACAGAGCCCGCACACAGCAGCTACTCCACGAGTGATCAGAAATGTCAGCTCACACTGCAAGAGCCACCCCAGGTCATGGAGCCAGGAATCCTGGGGTCTGCCCTGTATCTGCCACTAACTTAGTAACTATGACTTGGGTCTCTGGAGCCTCGGTTTTCTCATAAACAAAATGGGGCTGTCAAATGTGAGAAGCCACCTAGTGGGGATACCGGAGGGCTCCGGGCACACTTTGCCAGTGTTACCTCCAGCCCAGGAGACATGATTCTTTCTCAGACGGTGGAGGTGGGAGCCCCAGGGTTAGGGCTTGTCCAGGGTTAGGAGTCTGCGGCCAGGAGCTGCAGCCACCTCCTCCCCTTCCCATTCCCACAGCTTCTGACCCCAGGGTCGAGGCTGACAGAGGATGTTTACAGAGCGTAAACCTTCACATAGTGAAAGTTTGCTGGGGAGCTGGGGGCTGGGAGCAGCAAGAGTCTCACAGTAGTGTGGAGAAGACGGGGAGCTGCGTCCTTCCCGTCCTTGGATTTCAAAAGAGCCCATGGTGGCCTTGATGGGTGCAGCAAGGAGGTAAGCACACCTCCCAGAAGCTCACAAAGAAAATGTACAGTGATGTGGAGTTTCTCAAAATTCAGAGTGCAGGGCCTGTGACGGGGTTACATCAGAGACTGGGGTGCAGTCAGGGGCAAGGGGCTTGACATCAGGACCAAGGGCCTAAAAGGCATAGGGGAAGCTCAAAGAGAGAGCAGCAACCCTTTGCTCCGGATCTCAGAGAGAAGGCAGGAGTCAACAGTCCCCCCACGCTCCCCGGCCCTGGCCCCATGCTCCCCGGCCTGGCCACAGCCGCTGACAGGAGAGAGGCAAGGGATGCGGGTTTGTCATCTGGGTGATCTCCCTCACCCTGGTGTCAGAAAAGGTGCAGGTTCTGTGTGGGGCCCAGTCACCTGGCTGGCATGTGTGAGGGAGGTGTCCCAGGGGGTGACTGAACCCAGCTCACCTCAATTCCCTCCTTCCTGAGCCCTTTTCTTCCAGGCTCTTGCTGGGAGTCCCCTACCAGGGCTTGCATCTTGGGGAAGGGGGTGGTCTTAGCTATCTGTGCATATTGGACTCCCCTCATTTGGGCTGCTTCTGAGGGCCACTGGGGTGAGAGAAAGGATTTGACTAAAAGTGCGTCAGTAGGGCTAGAAGGCCAACTGCAGGAAGCACTGCCTTGAAAGAACGCCCATGACCCTGCAGTGAGTACCAAGAAACCCCACAGCTGGAGCACCTCAAGAAAAAGGGAGGGCTCCCATGCCGCCCCTTCCCCAGCCCCAATAATAACATCCCTCAAGCTCAGACATGCCCTTGAAGCTCACCAAGCTCTTTCCCAGCCATTACCTAATCGGAGAGGAGGCCCACAAGGTGGGGGTCTCCATCCACTTGGACAGCAGAGAGATCAAAAGCTCAGAGAGGCCCAGGGATCAACCCAAGATCACACAGCACAGTAGAGATGGGACCCGGGCCCTCGGCTCCCCTGGATCTCTAAAGTGGATGGCCAAATCCCTGAGATCCCTAAATGTCTGGACACTTTCATGCCACACTTCCTCCCACAGAGCTTACAAGAGATGTCTCAGCCCTGGGCTCCTGGGTACAAGTGGTCAAAACAAGCATGCCCCTGGCCAGGGCATTCCTGGCATCCAGAAAGGGCAGGATGTGGGGCAAAGGTGCCAGCAGATTTAGCTCCTGAAGAGGAAGGAGAGGCCCTTTCAGAGGAGGTGAAGACAGTGATTGGCCAGGGATCACGAAGTAGGTTCTTCACCTCCAGTGGCCCTTGTGGGGGCCTAGAAGCCAAGCCTGAGGACTAAGGACTCCCCAGGGACTAAGCCCTGTTGGCCTCCTCAGAGCCAGCCATGCCTAAGTCACGCCGCAGCTGCTTTCTGTAGAGTGTCTTGCCCTCTGCGGGCACCCAAGGCTGCAGTGTGGGCCTCGTGTACCCACCACTGCCACTCTTAACTAGCAGCCCCCTGCCCCTCACTCCCAAGCCCACCATCCCTTGTACCCCAGCCCAGAACCTTCATCACTTCACCATCTTCTCTGCAGAGAAAAAGTCCCCACAGGCCCTCCCAGTGGGCACCGAGGACAGGCCTGCCCCTGAGCACTGAGCCTGACCCTACATCTGACCTCATGTCCTGAATAATTTCAACTCTGGCCTAGCACATTAGGGTCCCCAAACAAAATCAAGGCTGCCCCCCAGAAGCTTAAAGGCTGAGAGAATTCTCTTCCTCTACCGTCCCTGTGGCCAAGGGGCTTCTTTTGCCAACATTTTCCTCCCCTTCACATCTGAAATTCTACGGGCCCAGTTAGGGCAGTCAGGCAAGCAGGCACCAGAGCAGACAGGAAAATACATCAAAGACAGGCAAGAGTGAGACAGACAAAAGGACAGGACAGACAGCAGACAGGCACACAGATAGCTGACAGGCCAGTGACCCGCTGAAACAGACAAGGAAGACTGTTGGACAATTCGGTGGAGAAATCAACAGACAGGCCAACTCACACACAGGTGGAACAGTCTGGCAAACGGACTCAGTCAGCAGAAGGACTCATACGGCTGGGTGGACAGGCGAGGGGACCCAGACCCAGGAGACCCCAAGATCAGAAAGCCCTCTCTGGCCACAGCAAGAAGGGATTAACAGCCGTTCATTTTCCAGGGACGGGAGGTCTCTCTCGGGCACCTCCAAGCGTCCCAGTGCCAGGCCCAGCCTCTCAACTGATATCTGCGGGCCTCTCATGTTCCTGGCTGGGCCAGGCCGTCCCCCAAGACAGAGCTCCAAGCTGCCAAAATTCACTCTTGTATACATCCAAGAGGGGTCAGTGTTTTCAAAAGTTGTAGGAGTCTAGGGAGAGGGAAGGAGGGGGCCGGAAAGGCCAGAGTGTCCAAGCCTGCCCCTTTCTTTTTCTCTCCGGGTGCCCAGAGCCAGGCCTGAGCAGCTGCCCGTGAGCTGACCTGCCTGGCCAGCAGGACAGGCAGGGCGGCCGCTGCTGGAAGTTAAGGGGGAGCGGGAGGCTGAGTGGAGACACAGAGAAGTCGGACAGCACTCGCAAGTGCCAGGACTCAGGTGGCTCGCGGGACCCCCTCACACACACCTGCAGTCCCCGGCCGGTCCTGCGCTGGGCTGGGGTGTCCCTGTCCTGGAGAGGAGTGTCTCCAGGGGGAGTGGGGTGGGAGTAAGCCGCCGTAGCTACAGAGCTGGGAAGGTGACAAAGTTGTTTGGGGGCAAAGGGTCCTCTTTGCGTCTGGGACACGAGGAGACAGGTGGGGGCCAGAGGAAAGGGAAGCCCCGGGGCAGTGGCTCCAGATTGCCGCGGAAGGGGGAAAGGCTGTGTTTGTGGGGGGGCCTGCCTGAGACAGGGGCAGGGGTTGGAGAAGAGGGTGGCAACAAAGAGTTGAGGTGGGGGGGTCGGAAGCAGGTCAAACAGGGGTCCCCACTTGGAGGTGGGGAGCGCTTAGGGTCCGGTTGGGGGCTGGGGGTAAGAAACCGGGTTCAGACCTAGGGAGAAAGGGCTGAGGGTCGTGGCCCAGGGGGCAGGAGGCGGAGCCAGGGCGGGGCGGCCGTCCCGGGGAGCCCGGGCTCGGGCTAGGACTGCCCCGGGCGGGAGCCACTGGGCACCGCCAGGGGCGCGGGGTCGCAAACTCACATGAAGACGTGGTAGACGAAGGCCCAGCCGCGGGGTCGCTCCAGCACGTTGTAGACCCAGTTCTGCAGGCGGCGGTAGCGCTTGTGCGCGGCGGAGGAGCGCTGGCCGCAGGCGGAGCCGCAGCCCGAGCCCGGCCCAGGGAGGGGCGCGCCCGGCGGCAGGGGGCTGCCCAGGAGCCCGAGGCGGCGCGGGGAGCCGCCCCCGCCCGCCTCGCCCTGCTCGCTCTGCACCGCCGTGAGCGCCACCAGCTCGGCGCGGGGGGCGTCCCCGGGCGGGGGCGCCAGGCCGAGGCGGCGCGGGGGGGCCTCGGCCATGGGCGGCGCCGGGCGGGGGGGGCCGGGGCCGGGGCCCGGGGCCGGTCCGGGGCGGGGGCGCGCGCGGTGCGCTCAGCGGCGCATGGCTCGGACCCCGGGCGGCCCGGGGCGGGCGCGGGCGCGGGCGCGGGGCTAGGGGCCGGGCCGGGGCCGCGCTGGGGCCGGGGCGGGCGCGCGGAGCCTGGGGGCCGCCGGAGCCCGCGCTGACCGCCCGCTTCCCCGGCGACTGGGGCGGCTCTTTCCGACTCCAACTCTCTTATTACGCGCTCCATGCCGCTCGCCTTTCCACCTGCCGCCGGCGCGCCGCTCACATGTCAGCCTCCCCCGCCCCGCCCCTCCCCCGCCCGCCCCCGCCCGCCCCGCGGCCGCCTTCCCAAATCGGGAGGGAGCGGGCGGGCGCGGCCGGGCGCAGGGAGAGGACCGCGGGGCCCGCGGCGAGGCCGGGCGCGCCGGCCGCTGGGCCCGGGCCGGACCGCGTGGCGGCGGCCCCGGGGGGACAGCGCCGGGGCGCGGGGGCGGGAGGCTGGGCGGGCGCTGCGCGCGCGGTGCGCACGGCTGCTCGGGCTGCGTGGGTCCGAGACGGGGCGGGCACGCCTCGCTTGTGGTTGCGAGAAGTGCCGTGTGGAGTTGCGGCCGCCGTCGTGGATGGGGCACGCGCCGGGGCCGTGGAGGCGCGCGAGGATGCACAAGTGCTACCTGCGCGTGCAGAGCGGGCGGCCGTGGGCTGCGAGGTGGCGGGATTGACTCAGCAGGCGTGAGGGGTCGTGGGTCGGCGTGGATGGGTGTGAAGTGGGTGTGCAGAAACCCGCCCGGCTGGAGGGTGGCCGCAGGCGGTGAGGCGTGCCCGGCGGGGCCGTGCTTGCGCGAGGGAGGGTGAGTGTGCGGGCAGTGGGCGCCTGGGGGCCAGCCCCGGCCTGCGCTTCCCCCACCAGGGCCCTCCGCCCGGCGCTGCCCCCGTGACAGCGCATCGCGGCGGGCCTCAGGTGTGTCCGTCTTTCCTCCCGCCCACCCCCGCCTCTGAGCTTCCCTTTGTGTAGGGGGAGCGCCCCCCACCCAGCCCCAACCCTAAGTCACTACGGTCGCCAGGCCGGCTCTCCCCAGCCCAGGCCGGAACGCGCGCCCTGGCTCCCAGGTCGGGGCGCCGGGCTCGGGGCACACAGTGTTGGGAGGTGAACTCTTGAGTCAGAGCTTCGGGCTACGCAACCCCTTCCCCAAAGGCCCACAGAATTCCACCCCGAAAGGGGAGACTCCCGGGGCACTCCCTCTCCGGCTGGAGAGTTCTTGGTGCCTGATCTCTCTTCATCCGTGGGGGTGGGCGCGCCCTTTCTTTTCCTTTAACGCCCAGGCCTCGCACGGAGGGGTAATTTGGTGATCCCGATTTCCTCTCCTGCCCCGCGGAAAGCTCCGGCCACGCCACACCCGCCGCTCCCTCCGCAGGCCCTGCCCCGGGGTGAAGCGCTTCCGCAGCAAACTCTTCCCGGTTCCTCGGGGAGGATCTCGGGGGACCGAGCTTAGCGGGAGGGGCGAGCGTGGGGGCGGGAAGGCGAGCTCGATTCTCAGCTGTCAGCAAAGGCAGCATTGATCTGCTGAGAGCCTGAGGGGGAGGAAGGCAGAGCTGCGGGCAGGCAGGGAGGGGGCAGCAGGGACTCGGGGTCCCCAAGCTGAGCCGGCCCACATCCCTACCCTAGAGTGACCCTTTTCCCCTCTGCCTAAAAAGGGGTACCTTCTGCTTTCTAACCCGAATTTTCCCCACTGATCGTGGCTGCAGATGTGCCCAGAGCCAAAGCCCTGGTTCCCCGGGCAGGTTATGCCCCTTCCTCAGCGGTAGCTGGAGGTTTCTGGACCCCTGGGCCCAGCTATGGATGCAATGTCAGGGTTGGGTTAACCATCCTCTGCAGTCAAATTCTCCAGCACTCAGCAATACCCCATCATCCCCTCCCTAAGAACTGAAGTTAACACCCCCTAGGCAGGTGGCACTGCCCTCCCAGACTCATGGGACTGCCTGGCTGGCTAGCCTCATCTATCAGGGATCCTAGGGGGTCAGACTAAGGTTTGGGAGTGTGAATAGTGAAAAGGAGAGCGATTGCAAAGGATCTGGGATGTTTCTTGGGGTCTTTTTTGAGGCTCCTCTGTGGCAGAAATGGCCTTTTAATCCAAATTGCCCTATCAACATCCAGAATATCTGAAATTGAGTCTGTTCTGGGAAATCTGATCCTCAAGTTCAGAATCACCTCTGGACCTTGTGCCTCTCTTCCCTTTGGGTTGTGGGGGGGGGGCTACAAAAGTCCCTTCCTCTCCCCATGAGGAGCCCTTATGGCAGGAGCAGGTCTGTCATCTTTCCCAACTCCAACTCTAGCTTAGCTGCTCAAAGGCAGCAGCAGCAGCAGCAGCAGGAGACTGTGACTGCAGCCAGAGGGGTGGAAGTTAGACTCGGGGAGGACTTTCATAGGGCGCAGAAATCAGTTCTCCTGCAGGTGCGCGTGTCATGGAGGGACAGGCCCACTACATTCTAAAATGGAGACACATGGAACTCTTCCTCAGGGGGGGTGTTCGTTTATGAGTCTATAAACAAAGTATAATTGGGGTGTGTGTGTACCACACATGCACTCATATATTTGGGGGACTGGAGGACGCAGAGGAGAAAGTCCAGTTCAGAGAGGACAGGTGGCCACTCGGGGTGACAGGGGAGCCTTCCTGCCCCCATCCGGATTCCCAGGGCATGTCTGGGAGGACGACTTTCCTCCCCGCCGCCTTAGTGACTAAGACACTTTTCTGAGCAAGCAGCTGTCTCAGACTCCCTCCGTCATTCCCCCTGCTGGAGAGGGTGGGGGTGCTGTGCCACCCTCCTCCCTCCCTCTCCCACCTGTTCCCTTTACCCCACCCGCAGCGGCTTCCTCCCGCCCCACAGCCCTCATTTCTTTCCCTGGTAGCCATGCCAAGGCATCCCGCTCTGCCCAGACGCCCTCTCTGTCCCACCTGGGCAAGTCCCTTCCCTGCGCTGGGTTTCAGCTTCCCCATCTGTACAAGAAGGGGGCTGGGCTCCGAGATCTGTAATTCATCACTGTCGCCACCATCCATCAATGAGCAAGTATTGATTTGGGGAAAGGAGGGAGGGAGGGGCTCCCATTTGCTGAACACCCGCTCTGGCCCAGGCCTTGCCCCTCTGGGACCCAGAGCAGCCCTTTGCACGTGAGAAAGCCGAGCTTGGAGAGGGACGGAGGCTCACCCAAGGGTGCACAGACAGAGGGTGACCCCAGAGATGTGACCTGTCCTCTCTCCTGGCTCACACCTACCAGTTGTGCCCTGGGTCCTGGGGTCAGTGCTGGGGACCCGGGAGGAACCCTGGGTGGCCACTCCTTATTCTCCAGGACTCACGGTTCCCCGGGGCAGAAACCCACAGGCCTGAAAGCGTTGAGGTCTGGAAGGGTTGGAACCTGGGTCCCAGGGGCCAGCTTCAAGCCTGTCATCGATTCCAGTGTGACCTCAGGTCAACCAAAGGCTCAGATTCCTTCCTTGAAGTGGGAAGGGGATGGGTTAAGTCCATGTTTTTCAGACTTGATTAGCAGTGGAGGTCTTCTTACAAACAGAATCACAAGCCAGCACTCCGACTTGTAAAGAGCATTTAAGCAAAGGTGCTCTGGCTGAATTGGGGTGCAAGGGTTCGGCTTTCATCCACCAGACCTCCTCCTAGTTTTTGTTGTTTACAGATGTCGGGGTTGCTAGAGATCAGAAGAGGGAGTGGTCTCATAGGCTGCGGCACAGGGGGCCTTGGTGACAAGATTGGGGAGCACTTGGAGAGGTGCAGGGAAGGACAGCCAATAATGCCTGCAGTAATTATAATAAAGCAAATATCAAAATCAACAGGGAACTATAAAACCAGAGACATTCTGGGGTGGTAGGAGGGAGAGGGGAACAGGATCAAAACAGGGGTGGGAAGAGCACAAGGGACTACAGTGATGGCTCACAGGTGAATGGGTAGTGGGAATTTCACAGGGATTAAAACCGAGGTGAGAAAGCATACATTGTACAAAAATGAAGAATGATGTAATATATAGATATAAAATTAAAAAATAAAAAGGGAAAAAAATAAGGCCAGTGCTAAATGCTGAGCTGCCATAGGATGCTTTACCTGCATTGCCTATTTCACCACCCAACAACACAATAACAATGGGGGTGCAATACTGTTCACACCCCCATTTGTATAGACAAGACAGACTCGGTGAAGACGTTTGCCTACTCTATGTCTTTACCCCCTGCTCTAGCCTACCATGTGAGTCCTTGGGGTGTGGGGCTGGGGGAGGATGTTATAGAGCCTGGGGGAAGAGCAAGTTTGGCAAGGGGGACCAGGAGACCTTGAATGCTAGGCTGAAGGGTCTAGTTGGCCTGATAGGACTCAAGGAGCCTGGCCAGGCCTGAGCTTGGCATGCTGCTGAGGCTGTGTCTCTGTAGGACACAACTCAGGAAAGGTAGAACGGGAGTCATCAGCTCCCAGGGAGGCTGGCAGTGCCAGGGGCAGAAACAGCAGTGAACTATGAGCCCAGGGTTAGGCATCCCGGGTCTACCTCTGGACTAGCTGGTGGCCTTGAGCAAATCACACACACCCTACTCCCCTCCCCCCAGCAGGAGTGAGTGAAACAAGGCATGAAAAGTGAGAGAGGCATGAGAAGTGGCAGAGAGCTGTATACATGGGAACCACTGATCTTAGCACACTTCAGGTGTGTGATCAGAGTGGAGAGGGGGCGCTGTGAGATTCCCCTAGGCTTAGCAGCTCTTCTCAATCTGGAAAGGCTCCCTAGGAAGGCTTCCTCCTCGGAGGAAGGGGTTGGAGTGGATGGTGGGCAGGGGTGATGGCATTGCAGGCATCATTTACCTCTAGGGGCCCACCTCCACCAAGAGCAGGAAGAGGAAGTATGAGAGAAAGGTAAGGCCTGCTTTCTTTTCCCAGTGAGGCCCAGAAAGGACTCTATAAAGACTTAGGCCACCCAGCACTGAGAGGTGCTAGGGGCTGCCTGGGGAGTTCCTCTTCCCCCAGATTGGGGGCGGGAGGGGGGGGGATGCGACAGAGCTCAGCAGGCCTGCTGGGCCAGT